TAATTTGAATTTTTGATAGGACTAATTAGTTCAAGGGCGGAGGTCATCCGTTTTTGGATTTCCTACAAATAAATGTTCCATAAATTGTAATGTTGGGAGAATATATGCCCACTGCAGTGTTCAACCTTCGAGCACACCTCGTCAGACCATTTAGATGCAATCAGCCAGCATGCACGCGACCTCATAATAAATGGCTCGTGCGATTTAATATTAGCCATTGTTAAATATAATTGTTTAGTAGAAAACGCAACTTTGTAGCACTATAAATAATCAAGGACTTTTTCAAGGCTAAGAAAAAGCCGGAAATAAACATTATAAGAGTATCTTAAAACAGGATTTGGAAAAAAAAAATACTGTTTGTAGAATCAGTGTTTATATTATTTTTCTCTTACGCCTATTTTAAGTCAAAATTCTTGTTCGACTTTAATATGATTTAGAAAAGTTGTAGGCGGTCGCCGCATACTGAGCCGAACTCCGCCGCATCTTGTTAAGCCTTGGCGGAGCGCCCACCAACGAATCGAACTTTCCACTCAGTCCACATAATTTACTCTTGGATTGGTTAAAGGAAATTTTTCTTTTCGTTTAAATTTTCTTTCTTTTGTATTGGCTGCTTTGATATAAATATTTCTATATAATAATTTTAGTGCGGAAGAGTTTACTAATTAGCTTCACATTAGAGCTTCAGATATCGCTGGAACAAGTCAAATCAACGCCTGGTTCATATGAAAATTCGGGTCTCTTTTTGGTAGCGTGATAGAAATATCAAGTAATCTAGAGTCTCGAGACTATATTTTTAATTATAACTTAACCTAAATAGATTTAAAACGCACATTGTCTCGAGCATCCCATCATTCTGGAGGATCACGTCTGCCTTAGATTGGGCACGAGCGCTCAGTTAAATTGAATTTGCTTTCAATTTTCTTAGACTTCTTAAACTTGTACTCAAGGAAAATCGATAGCACAATAGCTTCTCTCCTTCTATCTAAAAAATAACTGTTTATTCTTGATTTACTTTAACAAAAACTACGATAGGACCAGAAATATTTTAGTTCACTTTCCAAATCTTTTCTGTGACGTCGTTAAAAGGTTTAGATTGTGTCGTTATTCCATTTTAAACATATATTCCAAGAATCACTCTTATTTCTACCATTGTATTAAACATCATCAATCCCAGTATGTGCGGTCAGGTGCAAGCATGCCCCTCGCGTGCTTCATTAGATTTGTAATCAGCCGGACACTGCCGTGAAGTTTCAAAGGTTAAATTGTGGCCTCGTTTATATTTTATATTTATAAATAGCTTGCAAAAGTGACTTGTCACCTGCAAAATGGTAACGCTGACGATTTTTATTTAAAGAGAACAGGGCAGCGGCGTGAACACAGAGGTGGTCAACGACGCCCAAGGACATTCGCAACACCAGAGGAATTACAGATGCGTTGCCGGCCTTTGAGGAAGTTGTAGGCTCGCTTCTTGAACGATCCTAAGTCGTATGGTGGAAGGAAACGATCAAGCAATATGCTTTATTATTTCACTTCATAATTGAATTTAAAGTTATAGTTCTCTTTTATTTAGAGGTTACTTCTTATGTCTTATTACATAACTACTCCAGTTGCTAGTTTCTTTCAAGTTATAGATATATTGCTTGATTACTAAGTTATGGCATTACGCCTAGTCTTTATTGTTTATACATTAATGTATAAGTTCAAGTTGGCCTTCGCTAAGTTAATGTGTAGGGTAGATTTATGTTGGCCGTAACAATAGCTGCGTTTTAAAGCGTTTGCGTGTTTATAACGCCTTAAAATTTACCTTGCAATACAGTAGATGGTATCTGATAGGAATAAGTGTAACATTTATAGTGGTGGAGGTTAACGGGGTATAGATTCGATTCCTTCAAGGTAGACTTTTAAGCCTATCGTCTACATAAACGTTTAATTTTTCTTATAAAACTGTTTTAAATGCTATCAACTATCAAGGCATTTTTGACGTTTGAGAGCTACTTTTAATGTTAAAAATAAAGGTAAATGCTTAGAGTTGATGTATTTCTAGACTTGTAAATAGTGTGCCTATTTTATATTCACTGTTTGATTTGGAAAATTCAAATAAAACTCAATAAGGAACGATTATGAAAATTTTATTCTTTCAAAGAAAATTTACAATAACAGAATAATATCGGATTACAAATGAAAAGTACAGATCTATACAACACTAGCGGCCGAAAACTAAAGTCACTCAATGACCTAATTCAGTTACATAAAGGATTTTAACTAGTCACAATATTGTCCCCCCGTACATTCTCCGGATGTCAGAACACATCCACCGTTAAGAGGACTTTTGATGTTTGTTTTTACAGTATAGTAATGAAGCTAGCAGCCACCGGAATTCGCTAAAATAACGAAGCAACTGCTATCCATAGAACGTTGCATTTTCAGCGGCCTTTTAGCATCTCCGTTGTATTTGACCAATAGAGGATGGGACGCACAGATAGAGGATGTTTTCCCTTATCTATGCGTTCTATTCCTTGCCACATCTTCCCCTACTTTGTACGAAAAGTCTAATCATTTTTTGACATTTTTGAATCCTATCTACTTTAAACCTAGCGACTCAATATAGAATTTTTTTAAAATAATAATTACACTTTTACGTTAATTTCAGACGTTGAGTGACCTTTAAGTTTTCGGCCGTAGAACACTTAAATAAGATGAATAAGTTTCAAAACACTGATTAACCACAACGCAGCGCGACACATTCTCTAGGACCATCAATCGATACGTTATTGAATACAATTATTAATTTATCATTATTTTTTTTATTATTATTTTCAATAACGCATCATACAACAATCTAACGGCTAAGTAACAATCCGCCATGACTAAATAGCGGTCACTACCGCTACTTGTACTCGACTGCCAGGACAAAAGTAATATGAAATAATTAAAAAAAATCCGTTAATATGACAAACAATGAAAATATATGAGGATTATGTTACATAAGAAATTATATTCTCACTCACAACCTTGTCTTTGGAAATATTAGGTCTGTTGTTACAATTTTAAGGTCTTTTGCAATTATTGAGAATAAAATTTGAAGAAAAGTCGTTTTTAATTTCGATCACAAAACAAGAAAGTACAACAATTAACGGAACAGTTTTTTTTTAATACAATAAATAAACGTTTAATGTCGAGTACAATCCTGCTTGCAATTACAAAGGTTCTAAAGACACAGCATTACTGGTTCACATTTATACCACATCCATTAATAACCAAACTATGGTCTAAACTAACATATCACTTCAAAACTACCAAATAATGACACGAAAACAGCTGACCTGAGAGTTGGAATAAAGAAATAATTGACACAGTTCATCACATAGTTCCTACGTTCTGATCCAAGAATAAATTTATATCAATATGGTATAGAAGCTTATAATGGAAGACTAAATTACTACATCTCGATTAGGGGAATAACACAAAATTAGAAACAGCGTGCGAACGAATTCTGGAAGTTTCGTGATAAAATTTAACAACAACCCGTATAATAATTTATTACTAATATCTACATGATTTTAATTGGTGTTATTCGCAGACTCTCGTTGGCTGAGCACAGCCCGCGTTGGTTTGGTACTCTAAATTACCATGCGCGATTGCGTTTTTGCCACACGAGTGTACCCGTAGCGATCGCGTGTGACACACTCCACCTCGATCAGAGGAGATATCATGAATATTCGTATGATGGTTTTCGTAACGTTATCGACAAAATTTGTATTACATTTGTGTCCACACCGGGCGTAAACTCCACTAACAAATCTCATATAAATGTCGATGACGTTGTCGAAACTTGAAAATATTCGTGATAGACCCTCAGTAATACCAATTGTATAACTAGAGAACAATCGCTAAAGAAATTAATATGTATAACATGATGTAAAATTTAAAGCACCCGGTTTCCGAACTCTCTCGTTTTGTATTAACTATAAAATCTCAAATGTTTTTTTTGTGTGAGATACACGTAGCCCATAATTATATTGTCTATGTTTTAAATATTTTTTTTGAAGAATAAAGCAATATGTCCACAATGGAAGAATTTTAAATATGTAAATTAATTATATCTTATTTGATTTTATTATAATAGTTATAACAAATCCGATTTCACTATGCCCTACACAAGATGAAGGATACCATATTTATCCATTATAATAATCTTTAAAATTACGCAATAGAAGAATCACAGCATCCTTAAGACCATAATGTTATTTCAAATAAATCTCATCGAAGTATCGTAAGTATTTAAAATGTAAAATTTAGACCAAATTGGCAGTCTTCACAAACATGGAATGTACGATATGCGTCTATGCAGGTATCCGATAACATTAACAAATATCGGTAGACGTATCTCTTTATAACAACAAATTACATATGTATTTATGACACATTGCAACCGATACAATGATCCATCCCGAAACTAACCTAATTTCGCATAGCTGAATATGGTGATATCTTAATTGAACATCAAGTTAACTTCCGTAGACCTTGGTACAGTCGCCAAAAAAACTTTATGATAAAATATGATAGTAATTTATTCATATCTTTATCAAAATAGCATTCTTTAACATTGATCTAGGTTGCAGTCTGTATTTGCTTTCCAAAAGTGTAGAATTTAAATCGTCTTGGTCAATTAAAATATCACCTTTAAATACGAGTACAATCTATTCAGTGGTATTTTATTGTTTTGTATTTGAACTATTAGTTATATAAGGTATTTTATAAAACACTGCATGAATGTTGTTTCTTTTTATTGAGTTTATTATTGACATGATTATATCTCGACCATCGACTGCCCTTACAATGCACAAACCCATTATCGAAGGCAAACAACTAGCTTAATTATTCTATTTTGTAGACACACATTATTCATTAATTTTACACTTCTGATATCTAATAATTCAGTATCTAATTAAATAATAATTTATTATTAATAACTGTAAATATATCAATAACAAAACGTTCAGTTAATTAGAATAAATAATTATTTTATTGACGTTATATAAAATGAATGTAGATGGTAGCATAAGCAGCTAAGGGATGATCAAGGACACTTCATATCTAAACGTTACAATTAGCTATAATACTTTCGAATGGGTCTCTTGATAGTCAGTATGCGGACACTATATGTACATCAGATGAGATAAACAGCGCTATAATAAAAAGTACAAACATTGGTTCAAAATTAAATTTGTATGACAATGCTATGTAATTAATAAAAACCAGTTTAACTCAAGTGACTGCCAGATGCGGACTAGTTCCGGACTATTCGTAGATTCAATGGGCGAGTGTCATCATTTACTAAAAGTTTTAACGTTTTTAATTGATTACTTAGAAGAAAATCTGTAAATAATAAATTAAAATCTAGTCTGAAAGTGCCTAGTTAGATTCTCTAAGTGGTAAGCTCTTTGCGTAATCACACAATCTAGTTTTAATTATTGATGTAAACCGACTATAAATTTTTAAGTTTGTTTTGATGTTAGAGTTAAGGAGGAATATTGGAAATGCTTTCTAATTACAGTCCCGTGAAACCTTTCATAGAGTTATACATAGAAAATCTGAATTAGCTTTTACATGTAAAAAGTGGCAGTAGAAAAAAGGGTATTAGTAAAAGCTTAAGAGAAAAAGCTCGAAATTCTATTATTTAAAGTGATAACAATGTGTATATTAACACGTTATTATATTCAAACATTTATATATTTTACTAATTTGACTAAGTTTTGGAGAAATTTTGCTATTTTTTTAATTCAATACACAAAATTTTTATCCAATTATTTCTTATTAAGTCTCATTAAAAGACCAGATAAAGATGCGATAGTGAAGTCAAGGCGAAGGATGCTAAGCAAAGTACGATGAACTAAATTAACAAAGATACAATAAAAATGCAACACTAACATCATTTTCAAATAATCTTATTCTATGTCATCGAGGAAGATAAAATCTCCAATAATTTTAACCGGTGCTTAAATATTAAAAAATAAAATTCAATAACATCATAAGATTTTCTATAACTAATCACAATTAGGCTTTTTACACATTGTTCGAACTATGTTTAATTTTAATACACCAAAATCAACCACGAAATCGAGTTTAAAATGAATTGGAACACATTTAATTAAAGCACTATATCCTATATACATATTTACATATAAATATGATAACAATGAATAACTCTGATAACTCCGGGTACAGTGCGCCCCTCCCGGTTAAGGTCGGGGAGAAAATTTCATTTTTATCTGTCCGGCGGAGGCAACTTTGTGTCTTCGGGGTCGAGAGATAAACACTCCCGAAGGAAATCTTCCATTGAACGGTACACGTGCTCGATGACGCCTTTTAGGTCGTGCCCTTCATCAGCGTATGCCTAGAATAATTTTGGTGTATTTAATTAGAAAATGGCTTCTAAAACACAACATTTTGAAGAAGTTCAAACTTTTTATTTCGTTTGAAGATTAGTGGTGTCTATTTTTATGTACGTATGAGGACGCAATAATGTCTGCAATTCACTTGTTCTATAGTTACCTGGTATCTAAAGAGTACGCCAGCGTCAGTGAGCGCTCGCGCAAGTTGCAGCGCGTGTGGGTAGGGGGCGCTCATGTCGGCCATGCCGTGCACGAGGTAGAGCGCGTGCGCAGGCACATGGTGCGCGCGCTGCGACGCATCCGCCTCCACGTACCCTTTGTAGTTAACTGACGGCTGACCTAGGATGCGCTCCGTGAAAGCCGCATCTAAAATATGACAGTGGTTTATTTTTGTGATCATTTTTATAAGGGCCTTTTGATGATCATGACCTTAGAAAAATAAAATAACTTGTTTATACATACTATAGTAAAGCCAGTCGGTGATGGGTGAGACAGCTATGCCGCACTTGAGGGTGGCTTGTTGCGAGCCGAGCAGCATGGCCGTCACGTAGCCGCCGTAGCCCCAACCCCACACTGCCACGCGCGTCACGTCCAAAAATTTAAATGTTTCTAATAGGTACCTGAGAAAACAAATATGACTAGCTATATAAATAACAGATACTTAATGTAAGGAAAAGTGTGTATATTACTTCAATGTATTACCTAATTACAGCCAACTGGTCAGCAACTTCGACCCCTCCGAGGCGGCCACGCAGCAGTGCTCGTGGCAGTCCTCTGGCGCCTGCGACGTCCAGCTTGACGTACACCACGTCGTTGCGGGACGACATGTATGATCCCCAGTCCACCAGGAACTCGTCTGTCACCTGCTGGCTTCCGGGTCTACCGTCACTGTGAAATACCAATTATACTCCGTTCAATCGTAGATAGGTATTTTTTAGTGTTTATTACAAATTAAAAAAGACATACACATGGACGAGAACAGGAAATGCAGCATCGCGGAGTTCCTCTCGCCAAGAAGGCGGCAACAGAAGTTGCACTCTGGCTTTTGAGCCACTACTAAGCTGCACATCGAAGGACCGCCGCGTCGGCAGAGCTAGCTCTCTTAGACGTACGGATCTAATGAAACAATAAGGATCATTATTACAAACATTCCCTCAGGATAATTAAAAAAAAAGGGTCATGGTATTTACTTACCTATAAGGCCTCGTATCATATAATATTCTTTCTAACTTATGAGTTTTAGCGTTATGTAAGCCTGCCAGCGGCGGACCTGGACCACCACACTCTAAGACGTAATGTGTGATGCCAATTTTAGGTTTCGGGGGCGAGAAAGTAGCTCTCCAAAAGGAGCAGTTAGCGTAGTGGAGGCGTGCGGGCCACACGGCCAGCTCGCACGTGAGACAGCGCGGCTCCTCACGCTCCGCTCGTGCCTTCACCGAATTGCTGCCCACGCCATACCCCGGATCGCGCACAACGTACACCTGACGCTGCCCAGGCCTATCAGCACTACCTAAAGTCAAACCAAAGCTCATTAATATGCACTTACTGGGAGCTATAGAACTCACGAAATCGCCACACTCATCTGACTGATCTAAACGTGCTGCCAGACTCGGTGTACAAATGACAACTACGTGTAGAAACAAGCTATGTAGCCCTAATGAGTGTTAAGGTTAGTAAACAAGACATTATGAATCAATTAAACTCATCACTCAATCGCAACCAATGCTAATACTTAATTTGATTTGCTTCCTTGATCATATCAGGATGCAGTTTAGGTATGTATAGCTTTTCTTTGTCTAAACCTTCAATAAAAAAAAAAACAAAATAAAATGTTGTAAGGGAAGAAATACACTAAATCCAGAATAGTCTAATTACTTTTGTTTAAAAGAAATTTAAATACTGTACCTAAATAATAAACCAGGTTGTTAATCTGGTCCCACGCAAGTATTTCGGCGACTTCCACTTTTCCGTGTGAAAGTACTGCTATCCTCTGACGCAGAACGTCAATATGTTTGATATGCGTGTAATATTGGCCCCCGCCTTCTTGAACGGCTGCTAATAGTAAAAAGGCACTACCATCTTCTGAGTAGACTGGTTTCTGATGAACTTCTAGCCACGGTTCATCCGTTGCTTTTTCTGAATGTGTCTAAAAATAAGAAACGGTACATAAATAACCTTTCCGACTATTGTTTGAATAATCTGATGTTAATTCTTTCGAAAAAGATTGCAAATTACTTTAACATTTAACTGTATCTGTTCTAAACCAAAAACACATCTGGGTCGATGTACGAACAAAGTTTAGTGGTAACATTCGTTGTTAAACTTACCTCAGTACACGTCCAATTAGGAGCGTAACAACTACTGTACACTGTTAGGTTCTGTGCGCGGCTCATCCACACTACACCCACGTGAGAATTATCTTTGCCCACCCACTGAGCTGATATGAGATAATATTCACTAGAAGAAAAGAAACATTAATAACTTATACTGAACCTTTCAAGCTATTTCATCATAACGCTATAATACTTAAACGAACGTACATTCCATCTAAAGTACTTGGAGGCTTAACTTCCCATCTTGGTGGCGACGTTGTATTTTGTACTGCAACTATCCATAACTTAACTTTTGGTATTGAGCTACCGGGCTGAAAAATAAATCATTATTAAAAAATGCAGAAATATTGGCAGGAATTTCATAACTATTCCTTTCAAATGTTAAATCCATCTGTTATTGGAAGCAGAAGGTCGTATAAAATAAGTTTAGGCCTGGATTTAATGTATTTAGTAAGACCTTTGATGAAGATTATAATGGTATTCCAAGATTTCTTACCGTGGGATATCTAACCGTCATGTGGTCGGGGAAGACTGCGTGTATGCTGTTATTGAGAGCAGGCAAGAGGAAGCCGGACCTGGTAGCGCCGGCGCCGCCGATGCCCTCCGATATCCTTGGGAACTGCAGCTCCGGCACCATCGTATCGTTGTACTGCACGTACATGACCAGCGTGCCGTCTGACGATCCCCAGGTAGCAGATGCTGTTTTTGTCACCTCCTCTGTTTTGATAAATAGAAGCCTAGCTCAAATACAACTTTTAGTGCCTGTTCCACCAAATTGTAAATTGTCTGATAACAATCCAACGTGTAAAAAATGTGATGGAAATATCGGATTTCGTGACGTCATTTTTAAGCTATCTGAGCATATATCAGCCAGTGGTGGTACAGGCCCTTAGAGTGATATTTAAAGGCTAATTGATGGCAAAGGTATTGTGTCAAAAATAGTAGCTTCTGAATTATTTTCGTACCTTGATAGAGCCAGTCTGAGACACCATTGTAGACGCTGCCGGTGTAAGCGTCGGTGGTGAGGCGCAGAATGGGCGAACGGCGCGCGGGAGGGCCGGGTCGTGCCAGCACCTCGCTGTCGGCGGCCAGCAGTAGCGCGCCATCTGTGCCCAGCCACGCCGCGTGCTGCCACTCCCAGCTACTCTGCCCCTCGCCGAACAGCGGGATGTGGTGGCTGGATATTACAAGTTTTTGATTTCCAAGAAGCTTTCGCTATTTTTATAACCGAAGGATAGGAGTAGTGAGTTACGTAAAGTTAACTTACTTCACTGCTTATTATTATGTAATTAAAAGAAATATAACTTATCGTGGATACCCGTATGGATTAAAATACAAAATTTTAACGTTCTTACATAAAAATTGTCTGCTTTAAGAATTTAAATTCTCGAAACAGGTGAAATAAAATTTTATTATCATACGCAAGAAACTGGAAGGTTTATTTTAGTGTAATACTTACTCATTTGTGACGTCATAAACTGTATAGTACGCTGTAAAAGTCCGCCTGTAAACCTGAAAACAAAAGCCTACAGTTATCTTAAAGCTCATAACAAATTGACATATTGTAAATTCGAAATGTATATTAGAATAGAAAATATGAGATACCTCTTTGATATTGTGTTGGAAAAGAACGTGTTGCAGATTTGGAGAGCACTGGTATCCGCGCACATTTAATTGTCTCTGCGACAAAAATATTACTTAATAATACAAAAAAAAACTTTAAAGGCACATGAAAAGTTAAACATTTTTGATCACTCTAATTTCCAGACGAGATATACATTACGAAGTCAAGTGGCACTCACTAGCGTGTGATTGGTGACGAGTACAGTGAGGGAGTTGTTGAAGGTGTTTAGCGCGAGCAGGCTGCCGTCGTCCGCCTGGTACACGAGCTGATGGGAGCTCACCCACGTGGTGGGCAGCCGCTCCCCGGTTAGGTCGCCGCGTAAAAACTCGTCGAGGCGCATGCGACGACCCGACCAGTACAATAATTCGTCCACATACCTAAATAACAAAGATAATGTTATTGTAAAACATATGAAAAGAATAAGTAATTTTATATCATTTCTCACAGTCTACTGGTGTCCCTGCATAGGATTATCTTCTTATTCTTGTTGGACCTGAGTCAGTTCGAACTTTTAATTAAGTATTCAATCTTTCAACTTACCCTAGTAAATAAATTGCTGTGACAATTCCCGCTATTACAAAACTGATGACCATCAAAGAGAATATGATACTTCTCCAGTTGTGGCCGTCTCCCGGGTAGAGGTCCTACAGAGAAGAAAAGGAATTATCAGAAATATACTTAATTTGTACCGACTTTAAACTACTTTAGGTTATTTTAGTCTCCTGTCTTTATAAAGTTAATCATACAGGATAAATAAAGAATCACAAAGGGCGGTGGATTTAGTAGCAGCATTGGTGCAATACCACGTCCACTCAGAATACAGGCGCGAATATAAGTGGATTAATTCTTTATTTCTTTCGCCTGCGTTGTAAAAAGAATCTTGAGGAATTGAATTTGATTCTGGACTGCTTGTAATGTGTCTAACCTCCTCTTTGGCGGACTTGGGGTCGGCGACCTGCAGCGTCTCGTCGGGCGGAAGGCGCCAGGAGCCACCGCCGCCGCCGCCGCCGCCCGAGCGGTCCGTGTGGCCGGTGGCGTGCATGCGCCGCAGCACCGCCCGCCGCACCGCCCGCCGCGCACGCCGCGCGCGCACCCGCCACCGCGCCGGGCTACGCAGCCGCGCACGCGCTTGCACCCACCGCACGCATGCGCCGCCCGCGCGCGCCACGCTCCACACCCATCACTAATAAACAAACAAAATACATGTTATTGTTTCCTAAAGACACAGACTTCTGTCTGAATTGTATTGAAGAATTTGCAGATTTTAGCATTTTAACGTTTTGAAATTTGGTTTTTAATTACAACTTTAAAATCCGTGTAATGCTTTCACAAATTGTGTCATATTCACTTAATTTCGCAACATTTTTTAACTGACCCGTAGCAAAAAATGTACAAAATTAAATATTTTATTGAGCATTTTGTTTACCCCGCCCTGAATTCTTTATAGAGAATTGCAGTGAGCTCTGCGCTGCGGCAACCTTAAAGTTTAATCAAGTTGCAAGTGATACAAACCAGCGTGTAATATTTTTTATTAACATTTAAAGGGAATATTCATTTATTTTATACAAAATTGGTAGAAGTATGATGATTTGTTTTGAGTACAGTGGTAAAAATTTTCTAGAACATAAATTGTTTGCATTTGAAAACTCCATAGTCACGAAGCTTAATTTGTTCCGGCAGCAGTTGACAAGTGAATTTCAATTGATGAATCACGGCTTTTAGGACCTTACCAAAAGAAAAACTATCATTTTACGAAATTACATTTTAAATTCGCTTGTTACTAGTTTTAACAGTACTTGTAAGAAGGCGGGAGGAGACACAGATTGGTTTTGGAGTTTGTCCAACATTTTGTCGCACTTCAATCAGTTTTTACATTCGTCTCACGTCAATTTTACGACTCTGTAAAACTGCCGTCTCTAGAAGATATCGAGATTAATGTTGTTTTTATAGCGAAAATATTTAGATCCCCACAATCATATACTGACTGGAGTTCTGGGAAGTAAACGAGAGGTTTTTCTAAGGAATGATAAAGCAATTTATGTTTTGTATACGACTTTTTTCAGCTGACTCCTAAACAAATACTCATAATATAGTACCTTTAGTAATAATCGCTTAAAACAGATTTTAGATAACGGTAGAAACTAACAATCAGTAACATTTAACGAAAATAAACACTCAATCTCTACAAATAATAATTGAACTGAATTTAATCAATTTGTGAGTAGTGACTCAATATTTGTATAGTTGGGAGCGATTGCAGGGCCCCATTGAGGGAATACAAAATTACAGTTTGACAGAGAAAGTCCATTAAGGTTTTATGAGATCGACCTGCATAACAAAAGGGAGAGTCGAGACATTTTTTAAATTAATTATGTTCTACATTGATTTATGTTCATGATATACAGTGTAAACTCCACGTAATGTCCCTCGATTTAACGACAAACTCCCTAAAGCGTCGAAATCAATTGACTTTGGTTGGTTTAGCTTGTCTTTTTTATATACGTAACTACTAGATAACTACTAACACTATTTTGAAATAAACTTTTCTTTTTAATTCTGTTTTTCTTATCTCCATTTAACGATAACTCTCTATAACGCCATAAAATGGACAGTCCCTTAAGTGTCGTTATATAGAGTGTACACTGTAGTTATAAGGGCGTAAGTGATAAATCGTATTGTTATAGTTACACTGAAAACAATTTTAATTACTATTAAATTAAAAGTAATATAAATAAAAGTAACCAAGCGAAATAAAGTTCGCGTGCAAAAATTTTGATTGCATCTTAATATGTTTTTGACAAGGTCTAAATGTACTGCAATTTCAAGCTTTTACCACATGAATACTTTAAGTATTTTTATCCTTAATTATACCATAACAACCTATCGTGCCGTATAGAATAAGAAAAATATTGCTATTTGACGAACAAAAATTATTAGTCAGGACTCCCATTTCGTTGCAAAACATTTCACTTGAAAGATTGCCACAAGATAAAAATTAGCTTACAAATTCTTTTCATAAACTGTTGCAATTTAATTTGAGTTTTCAAAACTTTAAAACTTGTATTGAGTAAAAAAGATTTTCGTTTTGGCAAGTTTTATGTCAATTTAAAAGATAAAACTTGTGAGCAAACTTCAATAGATATAAATCGGAGTTGTGTTCGGTTTCTTGAAGCCAGTGAGCGAAATTCTTGAAAGTTACTCCAAAACTCAGATTTAAAGTGATGGCTTTCTCAAGATCGAGTTGTTTTATCAACAATCTGTCTTTTAATAATTTTAACGCTGGCTTTAAAATGCTTAAATGCCATAGGCATTGTAGATTTTAATTTTGTGGCCGTGGCCAATAAAGCTGCATGACTAGGCGGGTATAAATAAATATTTGGTACAGATATTAGACTAGAAGAAGAACATTATATCAACTTCCTGTTATCATTTAACAAAAATTACTAGTTGTAATTTTTTTTAATAAAGGAAGGAGGCGAAGGTGCTGTCCAATTTGTAGAGGTAGTAGAAATCCTGGTTAAGACGAGTACTACAGACACGTTTTGATACTTTCTGATTGTAAATATAAGCCATTATCTTAATGTAGAAGTCGTTAGAATTCCGACAAGGCCTGGAGTTCGAATCCCGCGATTTAAAAATTGTTGTTATTATCTTTCCTACAAGCCTAGAGCCAAGTTGGAATGATACAAGAAATATTAGTAAATTAACAAAAATCTGCGATATTTAAAAAAACATGCGTTAGATTTGAAATCGGTGTTCCTGGCAACATAGTTATATCGTAATGTGACGCATTACATTTTATGATAGTATAACACGCTCGTTTACGCAAATATAAACACGCGAAACGCATTAGCCAGTAATTAATCAGGCCCTAACTCGGTTATCGAGCGTTACTCATCAACGTGTGTACAATTACTTCAATGAATCAATACGCCCTAATCGTACTAATGGAACGTTTATTGATTTCTAATGATGTTAATTTTCGTCGCATCACATATCACTAGCTAATGTTTGTACAATGATAGTCTTTATTAGCTATTAGTAACAGTGCGAATGCAAGAGCATACACACCAAAATTGTGATAGTCAAATTAAAGGAGAAATAAGCATAAATCCTTGGTTATAAATATTTGCAAAATTTTATTACGAAGCAATGTTTTTAACCTTAAATTACTTGTTAATATTCCTATTATGTTACTTCTTACTAATAATGTAATACATGATATAAATATCGAAACTCTAGATGGAGGGATGGATGAATGTTTGTTAGAGTTTATAGCCTAAATTGCTGAACGGATCTCGATGAAATTTTAAGATGTAGAGGATAATCTGGATGTACACATAGGCTACTTTTGTTTTTTAATTCGACGCGGACGGAGTCGCGGGCGAAGGTTAGTTCCTCATAAAAAGCCGTTATAATTATAATAGAACAATAAAGGTTGGTTTATACCTAAACATAGTTCACAATTAATATGCTCGTAAAACATTTTATGGGAAAATTATTAGTTCTTTTATTATGTACATTTTGTGTACACGCGCCAGTCAATTAACGAGCTATTAACTAAATTACACCAACGTTACATATGATAAAGATATCTTGATACAGACGTAATTAGTTGACTTGTTAATAATTTAAAAATGAATTATGTTTTATTAAATACTAGCTTTCGCCCGCTACTCCGTCCGGTTGGAATTAAAAAGAACAAAAGTGAGTAGCCTATGTGTTCTTCCATATTATCCTCTACGTCTATACCAAATCCGTTCAGCCGTTGAGGCTACAAACTCTAACAAACATCCATCCATCCATCTAAACTTTCGCATTTATAATATTAGTATGAGTATTATATGAAGTCTGATTTAATTTACTTTGGTGTATGGATATATCAATTCAATGTAGTTCTTTTAACAGAAAAAAACATGCATTTAAATTTTATAAATTTTCAATACCTGCGTCAAAAGATGGACATCTCCTCATCTTGCTTCTTACTAATGTTAAAAATGTGAAAGTTTAAATGGATGGATTAATGGATGTTTGTTAGAGTTCGTAGCCTAAACTGGAAAACGCATCTCGATGAAATTTGGTTTATATTTAGAGGATAGTCTGAAAGAACACATAGGCTAGTCATTTATGTTTTTTTTTATTCCATGCCAACGGAGTCGCAGGCGAAAGCTAGTTTAAAATAAATCTATACCGATAGTTTTCATGCATATGGAACAACATTGAAATTCTCGGATACTTGAACAATTGTTCTAACAATTTTACTCAAAAGAAAATTGCTTAACTTTTGGTAAAAGCCTAAGCAAAAAGTTTTTTCTTATCAGCTGGCTCTCAAGGTACGAATTTAAACATATTAAAATAAAGTAATCAATCGAGGAAACGGCGGGATTTCGCAATGTTCGTGAAGCGGCGATTTCACGAACCTTCATTTGCCGCAGGATGATTTTCAGCTTCCCAAATTACTTTGTAGAGGGATCTTTATTTTTTATCTTTAATTTGCGCTCCGTTTCTTCCTCGCGATATAAAATTCTATTGGTTTAAAAGTCACTTTTTCCGTTTATTCATTTTGTTTGAACTTAAGGGGATTTTAAAATAATTCATTGGATATAAATTGCAAATACTTGTTTGATGTTCAAAGACCAACAAATACAAACAAAACCATTTTTTAATATTTCGATAAAGATATTAATAGCTTAAGAATAATTATTAACAATTGTCATTTTGTTCTTTATTGTGTGAGTTTGGTATTGGCACTACTTCCTCATTTCCTAGCATGCTTCGTGTTAACATGCCGGACATGAGGCGCCAGTTCAGTCTTATGTCTGTTGCCTTTGCCAAATCATTCGGCCCTTTCGCATCTTTCTTTTGTTTCATATGCCATTTTGCTTATTAAATTCGTAAAATATGTTACGATTGTGCCTGTTTTATGCACACGCTTCTACGATGTTATGTGCCATTTTTTTCTGACAAAATTTCTACGATGTCATGTGCCATTTTTTTCTGAAAGAACTCTTTCATTATTTATTATTTATAACTTTTGCCCGCGACTCCGTTCGAGTAGAATTAAGAAAAAAAAAAGTATCCTATGTGTTCTTCCCGACTATCCTTATACACCAAATTTCAAAGAAATCCGTTCAGCAGTTAAGGCTACAAACTCTACTAAATCCATCGATCCATCTAAACTTT